ACTTGATCTCTATGGTTGGCTCTAGACTTGCACTTATGGTGGGTTCTAGACTTGCATCTCTGATGGATGCTCTAGACTTGGCGCTCTATGGAGGTTCAGACTTGATTACCTTATCAAGGTTCCAGACTTGGCACCTCTACGGATGGCTCTAGACTTGGCACATCTATGGATGGCTCTAGACTTGCACCTGTTATGATGGTTCTAGACTTGCACCTCGTATGAGGTTCTAGACTGCACCTCTATGGAGGATCTAGACTTGGCAGCCTCTATGTGAGGTTCTAGACTATGCACCTCTATAGGAGGGTTCTAGACTTTGCCCTCGTATGAGGATCTAGACTTGATACCTCTATCAATGGTTCCAGACTTGGCATCTCTATGGATGGCTCTAGACTTGACATCTCTATGGAGAATTCTAGACTTGGTACCGCTATCAATGGTTCTAGACTTGATACTTCTATCGATGGTTCTAGACTTGGCATCTCTATGGATGGTTCTAGACTTGGTACCTCTATTGAGGGTTCTAGACGTAGCTAATCTATGGATGGCTCTAGACTTGGCATCTCTATGGATGGCTCTAGACTTGGCATCTCTATGGATGGCTCTAGACTTGGCACCTCTACGGATGGCTCTAGACTTGGCATCTCTACGGATGGCTCTAGACTTGGCTTGACACCTCTACGGATGGGTTTAAGACTATTGACACCCTCCTACACGGACTGGCTCTAACTTGCGCGACATCCTCTACGGAGGGCTCCTGGACTTGACACTCTCTCTTCGATGGTCTCTAGACTTGACATCTCTACGGAGGGTTCTTAGCGACCTTGGACACCTCTACGCGATGGCTCTAGACTCCCTGCATCTCACTTACGGAGGGTTCTAGACTGACACCCTACGGATGGCTCTAGAGAGGACTTGACACCCTCGTATGGATGGCTCCTAGACTTGACACCTCTACGGGATGGCTCCTACAGACTTGACATCTCTACGCGAGCGGTTCTCAGACTTGACACCTCTACGGAGTGGCTCTAGACTTTGACCATCTCTACGCGATGGTTCTATTACCTGACATCCTCTCTTATTTATTTATTTATTTATTAACTTTCTCATGCTCTTTTTTAATTCCTTCTAATTTGCTCTTATTTCTATTATAATTAACAGTTTATTTCTTAACTTTACATGTATCTTATTTCTTAACTTTCTCACACTCATCTTTTTCTTCCTATTTGGTTATTTCCTTTTATGATTTTATTTCTTAACCTTTCTTCACACTTTTTTCTTCTAATTTTGTTCGTTATTCTTCTACATTACTTTTTATTTCTTAACTTTACATTTATTTTTACTTTTTTTCACACTCTTTTTTTCTTCTAATTTGCTTCTTATCTTTTTAATTTCTTAACCTTTTACATTTATGTTCCCTTAACTTCTTTCTCACTACCTTTTCTTTTCTTCTAATTTGCTCTTACTTTTTACATTTATTTCTTAACTTGTACATTTATTGTTCCTTAACTGTTTTCTCACTCTCTTTTTTTGTCTTCTAATTTGCTCTTATTTTTACATTTATTTCTTAACTTTACATGTATTTATTTCTTCAACTTTCTCCACATCTTTATTTTCCTTCTAACTTGTTTTTACTTTCTTACTTTCTCACACCTACATTTTCCTCTCCTAATTTGCTTCTCATTTTTTTTTTTTTACATTGAGATTTTCTTAACTCTTTTCTCACACTCTTTTTGTTTTTCCTTCCATCTACCTTGCTTTTACTTCTTTTACGTTTTTGTCATTTCTTGAGCCTTTGTGCGCTCACCTTTTTTTCTTTCTTGCTTTTTTTCTTTTTCCGTGGAAAACCGCGGTGCCGGCGTTGTCTCACGGCGAATGGGCGTTTGGCACCAGCTGTCCCGTTGAAGAGCCCCTGGGAGCCGGCGAGGGCGCGGCCCCCGGGAAAGGGAGTGCGCCAGACACCCGGTGTTTCACGAAAAAGA